TAGTTAGTTAGTTAGTTAGTTACGTTAGTTAGTTAGTTAGTTACGTAGTAGTAGTAGTAGTAGTAGTAGTAGTAGTAGAGAGAGAGAGAGAGAGAGAGAGAGAGAGAGAGAGAGAAAGAGAGAGTCTAGATTGAATCAGAGGCTACGAGTTCAGTGAATATGAGAGAATTCAAGAGAAGGGTGTTTCAGCTGGCTTGTTCTGTTGTGATTCATACGCCTCAAACTTATTCATCAAGAGGAGCTTGTACAGTGCAATGATCATTCCCGGGGGCTATATAGGGTGTTAAACGGTAATTCATGTTTCCAAATCCCTTGTATTTTTGTGGATTTACATTCTCTTAACTTATATGATGAGTGAGAAACAATCGTTCATCTTGTGCTTTTAGTGAAACAAACCCGTTCAAGACGTATTCAAACTGAACCTATTGAAATAAGGATCTCTATTGAAGCTGATGTGAGGACTGTAAATTATAGCAGGCAGGTTTGAGAATATTGTTCAATTAAATATTTGAATTAGCTTTGTAACTAGCCCTTCTTTGTTACACTGAAGTAGTATTACTTACTTTGAATGAGTGGGTATTTTTGGGGTTTTAGTATTGTTGTATCTTTGCTTTTTCTAATGGATTGAAGGCATTCGCAGTGGACTGAAACCTGGAACAAAAGTCTAGGAGTCAACTGGTTGAAGTTTTGGTTGGGTCTTGATTGAAAATAGCTGTCCCTCTCTTGATTGAAGTTTTGGTTGGGTCTTGATTGGAAATAGCTCTCTCTCTCTCTTGATTGAAGTTTTGGTTGGGTGTTGAAAAGTCCCCCTCTTTCTCTCTCTCTCTCTCCGAGTGTTGATATTCTCTTTTTTTTATGCGACTATTTACCTTCAATACAAGGTGGTCACAATTATTTACAACTATTTGATGTAAAATTTTATAGTTTGGATGTATCACAAAGTTCGAATTTTTTTTTTTTTGAAATTAGACCTTGATCAATGGAATAATTGCAGCCACGCAATTTCACATTCAATAATCTAGATTAATGTGACCACTTTGTACTAAAGATAAATTGTCTCGTTCTATACTTTCCCTTTATTATATTATCCATACCATTTAACAATTTACGAGTTCTTCACTGTTTCAATTTATCATCATGTGTATTTTGATAGTTCATCTCTTGTAGGTATTTTTGATAAATTATTCTTTTTTCTTTCAAAGAGATTTGACATTGCCAATATTATACTAAGAAATTTTATTATGAGGCGGTTGGATATCAATAATACCGATGTTTGAACCGCCCTATTCTTGAAAAAAAATTCAAAATATGGAGTGGGTCCATGTTGGTAAATATGAAACAGTCACATCAACACAAAGCGTGGTTTGAAGTTGCCAATAGCTTAAACAATTCAAATAAGGCGCACTTCCTAATTTTAACATATGTAATTTTGGAGTAAAAAATTCTTAGGATTATCTCAAAATTTATTTTCATATCTAATTATAAAATTTTAAACTCCAAAAATTATTAAAATCAAATAGATCTATAAACATATGAAAATCTTGAAAATGGGTGGTTTAGATAATGTATTGCAAGATGATAATATATTTTGGGATTTAAAATCTTTTTTTTTTTTCATATCAATGTCGAGATGATCAATTCGAGGATTTTTTAACATTAAAATAATTTGTTTCAACGAATTTTTTAAGTGTATCTGAAGTTTTACATTTTAAGGTTGCAATTTTATATGAACTTTTTTCACTTTTTCATGTCCAACTATCCATTTTGAATAAATGGCCGAGGTGGCTCCAATCAAATTGTTTCTAGAAGTTTTAAGGGTATTTTGGTCATTGTATTTTATCAAAAATAATTTTTTAATACTTTTTTTAGGTACATCCCATTGAGATGATGACACGTGCCAAAATTCACATTCATATAATTTGTAGAAAAAATTAAAAATAAAATCCTCTTAAACGTTTGAATAATCAAACGCCAAACAATAAGTGGTTCACTTGAACTAAATTAGACAGCTCACTTGAACTAAATTAGACAGCTGGATGGGGAGAAGTATATATCTTTTATTAATCGAAGAAGTATAGAAATCTTTTACAAAGTATTTTGCAGTACTTTATTGAAAAAAAAGAAGTAATGGCCGATGCTAATAATGTCAAACCGGTGCAAAGTTGGTATATAATACACAAAAAGTACGACCTCAATGTAAACTATGATAAAACATGGACCGTATGCAATTCTTCTAAAATATAAAAAAGTTAAATGTGATAATATAAAGGATGCAGTTTGTATAGAGCCGAGGCTCTAAACAATAAAAGTAAAGCACACCTTAAAATAGTGTTGAGAAATGTGGTTTTAATAGTGGAAATATTTGTGATAGCCTTAAAATATATTTCATCTTTAATTAAAAAATTTAAATCTTCAAAACTAGTGTAGATCGAGCAAATTTATGAAAACTTGAAAATCTTGAAAATTGACAGTCCAAGAATGCGTTACAAGATACACTATTTTTTTCTCATGCCCATGCATATTGATGTCGAGATAGTCAATTTGAGGATATTTGGACATCAAAACAACATCTTCTAGTGAAATTTTTGAGGTGGGCTCTAATTTGATTGTTTAGAGCTTCAGTTCTATTTAAAAAATTTCTTAATATAAATGCATTTTATATAAGAAAAGATAAAAGTATATTGGTTTCTGCTTTTTGTTTATGAAATGATGGTTTTTAAACCTCATTAGTAATTCCACTGCTTAAGGTATGTCAATATTTTTCATAATTATTTTGGTAAGCTAAAAATATTTTTTAAAATCCTACCAAGTGCGATCAACATTTTCAAAATAGGGAAAATATCTCCACATCCCCTATTTTTAAGTTTCACATCTCAATAGATTCAATAATTCAAAAGATATCTTGTAGCATAAAAATCTTAAACTTTTATATCTTCTAACCCCTTAGGCTAATTTTACCTATTTTATTTCTTTTTTTTTAACCCAAACAATTTGTATAAAGACAACTCTTTGTAAACCACATCTCTTCTCTCTTTTCACATGATATTCTCATTATCTATCTCTTTCTCTTTCCAACATAACTCTACCGCATTACCTCTTTCTCCTAATTCATCTCTCTTTTTTTCTTTCACATCTTAATCTCTCTTTCTCTTTCTCCATAGTGACTTGTTGGGTTTATGTGGCTTTTAAAAGCCTTATGAGTGTGTAATGAAAAACATTTACTATAGCGGAACATAAACTCAGTGGGAGTGTGGTCCTTCAAAGACCATACTAAGCAAATGATATTTGTAGATAACGGACTGTGCTTGACGATCTAGATCAGTCGGTTGGAAAACCCAAGGTACCAGAGCATAAAAAATAAATCGAGAAGGGTTTTTGGGTTAGCCCTTGATGAGGTCAGAGCTTATGCCTAGATGAGTGAGCTGAGGGACTGTGTGACCCTTGTGTGTGATGGTAGGCCTATAGAGATGGGGGCCAAAACCTCGTCTATGTTCCATTACACAGCATGCATATAGATAGATCATTCGGAAAAGCTTGATATCCACCTCTGGGTGAAGCATATGCATGTGCGAGAGATACCTCTATGCGCCATAGAGCTGTAGTCACATCAGGTCGTAGTGACTTTGACTTGTCTCTAGGAGAGGACCTGTAATCCACAGACTGGGATTACGACTCGTTGGCTCTTTGACCAGACTTTGGTGACCTGCTAATGAGCCCCTGCTTGGACTGTGGGTCATGAGAAACACTAGGTCGGTTCGATAAAGCAAGTGTGGTTTGTAGTCCACAGTTGAAGGTGGAGTACCCCGTGATCATTGATTGAATTCCTGAACCATATGGATCTACTTCCCATCATATTAATTTAATTGTATTGATTTTATTATTAAATTATTTTAGATTTATTATTTGAATTTTTGTAAGTCATTTGATATTTTATTTCTTATTTTTAGACATATAAAAATGAAGTTATTAATTTACAAAGTTATAATGTTTTAAAATTCATTTTTTTAAAATATTTATTTTAAAAAAAATACACGGGGGCCCATAGTACACATGGGCCCACCATGTGGGTATTAGGTGGAGCCCCACATACCATATGGGTATTATGTGGGGCCCCACATGCCATACATGGGTGGCACGCCCCACCCTTGGATACCTTATCTTGTTTTGTCTTCAAGTTTGTTAAAAATGGTAACTATATCGCATGTGGTCAAATATTGATTAGGAAATATTGACCATATCTTATCTTGATTATTGAAGGAATATCTTGACTTGCTATTATTGAAATATTCTTATAGAAAATATGAGATGGAAAATGTAATTTATGGTATGCACTATATCTTTTATGGATTTAATTTATTTAAATATATTGATGGGAAAATGGTTTAAAGAAATGAGATAATGGTTTATGCACCTTCCATAATGTTGATGGCCCATCTATGGAATGAATAGCTCAGATCTCTCACCCCACAAGTCACATTGATCATCGGTCTATATTCAATCTCAAGATAGAGACAAACTATGAAAAACCCTAAAGAAACATTAGACTTAAATTTCACTATAAATATGGGTGTTCTCCCTCCATCTCAATACCTCTCTCTCTCCCATAAACTCTCTCTCTCTTCCTTAGGGACTACGCTCCTCTCTCTCTTCCCTAAGGGTCACGCCCCTCTCTCTCTCTACTCTCTTATTTTTTCTCTCTCTCTCATTTACCTAGTTTGGCCGAAATTAGTTTTTTCGATTCGAGATTGAAGCTAGACTGTTGATCCCGAGCCATTGGATGTGATGATTCAGTGTGGAGTGTAAAAAGCCCGATTGAGGTAATTTCCAGCATATTTTTTTTTAATTGTTTGTTCTTTTATTTTATATTCTCAAGCAGAGTATTAGGTTGTATGAATGGCATCAAGTAGTTGAGATTTATTTTATTGATGTGTTATTTAATTTTTGGAATTCTATTGTTTGTAGAAAGACCATCTGTGAGTGATTTTGTTACCAAAATTATAAGGGGTGATTATTATTTTAAAATTAAAAAAAATTGTATTTTCCTGACAAAAGATTACATAAGCCTTTCTTTCATGACTCTCTCTAATTCTTCTCTTTTTTCTCTCTCCACCTTTGATTCCTCTCTTTTTCTCTCTTCACCCCTAATTCCTCTCTTTTTCTCTCTTCACCCCTAATTTCTCTCTCTTTTTCTCTCTCCACCTCTAATTCCTCTCTTTTTTCTCTCAGCCATGACTCTCCCTAATTTTTCTCTCCATCATCTCTCCATGAATCTCCCCAATTCCATTCTCTCTCTCATCGTGTTCCCCATTTTCTCTGTCCCCCTCCATGTCATCACTCTCTCACGTCTTAATTTCCTTTTTTTCTCTCTACCGTAACTCTCCCCAAACCCCTTCTCTCTCTCCGTATTACCCAACTCTCTCTCCCCTACTTTGCAACTGTGAAGTAGTCATCTCAATACTCATATAAATTTCTCTTAACCATGTGAAAGGCTGTACATGCATTCTTACATGGCAGGCATGTAATACAGATGGAGAGAGAGACAGATGAAGAGAGAGAATTATATGCATGCTTACATGATAGGTATGTAATACGGATGGAGAGAGAGAGACGGATGAAGAGAGAGAATTGGGGTGATACGGAGAGAGAGAGAGAAGGGGTTTGAGGAGAGTTGCAGTGGAGAGAACTTAAGACGTGAGAGAGAGTGACGATATGGAGGGGGACAGAGAAAGCGG